GCCCAGGAGGCGGAGGTTGCGGTGAGCCGAGATCATGCCATTGCACTCCAGCCTGGGTAACAAGAGCAAAACTCCGTCTAAAAAAAAAAAAAAACAAAAAAAAAATCTGTAAGCAAGTAGATTTAATGCTGTTAATTTGCCTTAATGTGAAGGGAGTTGAAGGACTTTTTTGTTTTTATTTTGCTTTAATCACTTGGCTTCAATCTCTTTAAAAAATAAGTCATAAGAAAAGCTAATTACTTTTATATTATATCAAGTTTTAAAGGTTTTATAAAGTTCTTTTCCTCCAGTAGCCACTGAGTCATTGAGATCCATCCCTCAGGGAAAAAAGAAAGAAAAAATGATTAAATGCACAATAGTTTTTCAACAAATACTTATTACTTGATCACTTCTGAGTGTGTCGTTATTACTTGTACCGGTTTCTTCCACCAGGGAGTAAACAAACCTTGGAAACACAATCCCTTTTTTTTTTTTTCCTTCGATTCATTTCTTTAGGTATTTACTAGGTGCCTTTTATGGAACTGTTTTAGAGACTGAGAATGTGTGTATTAGTAATTACATGGGTTTTATTTTTAGTGTAAGAGACAGAAAAAAACAACACAGATTAGCATTTGTTGGTTTTTGTTCTGATTGGCTGATTTATCTTTTAAAAAGCTCACTCAGACTGCTGGGTGGAGATTAGATAATAAGAGTGGGGACAATAATTCAAACAAGGTCAGGATAAAAGAGATATTGGTGGCTTAGTGGTGCTGGTGGTGGTGGTGAGAAATATATACTTATATTTCAAATCTAGAGCCTATAGGATTTACTAACAACTTGGTTATAAAGTGAGAAGAATGGGGTCAAGGATGATGCCTACATTTTTGTCTTGAGTAAACCAGCCAATATAGTGTTCATTTACTGAGATGGGAAAAGCAGATTGAGAGTGGAAATCTGAGGAAATAAGAGAACATGTGATGTTTCGATACCTGTTAGACAAACAAATGGAGATATCACCTATGCAATTGGAATGCAGGTCTGGAGTTAAAGGGGAGAAGTCAGGGTAGGTATGTACATGTGAAGCCAACTATCTGTAGGTGATGGTTAAAGCCGTGGCAGAGAATGAGATCACCTAGGGACTGAGCATAGATGGCGAAGGGAAGTCTACAGTCTACTACTGGGACCTAGAGGCACTCCAACATTTAGACGTCAAGAAGTGGAGATCCTGCAAAGGAACACGAGAAGGAGAGAAAAAAGAGAATATTTTGTGAAGGATAGAATGGTCAGCTGTATCAAATGCTAGTGAGAAGTTAAGTAAGATGGGGACAGAATTGACCACTGGATTTTAACAGTGTGGAGATGGTTATTGGTGTCGGTGGAATATGTTGAAGACTGGGAACTCAGCTATATTTGAGATGACTTCTTTTTTTCCCTGAGATGGCGTTTCGCTCTTGTTGCCCAGGCTGGAGTGCAATGGCACAATCTCGGCTCACTGTAGCCCCTGCCTCCCACGTTCACGCAATTCTCCTGTCTCAGCCTTCCTAGTAGCTGGGATTACAGGTACCCACCAGCACGCCTGGCTAACTTTTTGTATTTTTAGTAGAGAGGGGGTTTCACCATGTTGGCCAAGCTGGTCACAAACTCTTGACCTGCCTTCACCTCCCAAAATGCTGGGATTACAGGCGTGAGTCACTGTGCCCAGCCCTGAGATGACTCTTCTGAGCTGTCTTGCTGTTAAAAGGAGCTGAGAAAAGGAAACATAACTAGGAAGTATGAGAGCAGGGGAGGGCTTTTTTGTTTAACACCATTCATCGTTTATAACAGAATAGAGGGCAGAGTATATGGGCACAGATGCTAGTAGTCTGGTAGACATGATGCTAGAAGGATAAAGTTCTCTTTGGATTGCTTCTGTTTTCTCAGTGAAATGAGACAAAAAAATCATAAGCTGAGTGTTAGGAGAAGGGGAAAGAGGATATTGTAAATTTGAAAGTCAATCACAAGATGTGAAGTAAACATTTTGGAAAGTATGCTGCCTAAGATTTTAGATATTGTTAGACTATGATAAAAGTGTGATCTCAGAAATACCAAGTATTCCTATGGATGTTCTGCTAAAAGGAACCTGTTGGGTACTAGCCCCAACCCCGTACATGGGTGCCCTTAGTCTCAGCGGCGACGAGGGATTGAGAAAAGGAAATAAAGACAGAGACACAAGAGTAGAAATTACAGCATGGGTCCAGGGGACCAACACAAGAATAGGAACCGAATTGGCGGGGAGCTATGGGCTCCAGACACTTTGATTATGTGCATAATCTCATTGAGCTTATGGGCGTGGAAGGGGAGGGTGAAGGGGTAGGTAAGATGAGGGGGCACTTGAGATCCTTCTAAGACATGCCAAACTAGTAGTCTGAGTTTATCACTGATTGTTATTAGGATGCAGCTGCTTCTGGAGTATAGAGGATGAGGAGCCACCCTGTCTGACCATACCCAATGCATCAAGAGGCTTTTATCTCCCAAGCATTGAGGACATAGAGCAATTAAAATCGCTCCATATTCCCAGAACCTAGGCAGAGCCTGAGGCATTCTGTGATCTCTGCCCTGCAAGGCCTTTCTCCTCTTTGCCAGCTCTCATCGATAAAGACCCTCCTGGATCTTGTGAGCAGAGGTCACCTCCCTTCTCAGAGATCTTTGCATAAGCCCTCTTCAGGAGACCCTCATGCATTCTCCATCTTGAGAAGGCATTCATGGGACCAGAGCTGTATCCCTTGCTCTGCAAGCACCCCTAGGTGTTGGTGTTACTGTGCTCTTGGATGGTCCTTACCTTAGGCCTCCTGTTGCCGCTTGATTTCTAATTAACTGCACCAATAATATAGTTAGTTTGGTGTATAAACTTGTATACTCTGAGCCAAGCAAGCTTATATTATTTAGCTAGAATTAACATAGGTCTCCCCCTGGCCATCTTGACCCACAGAACCAAAATAGGAATGGTTCAGGCCAAAAATCATTAAAGATAGCCAGAGTGCTGCTCTGATTCGTTCAGAGTAGGCATAAAAGTAACTTGATAAATTTCAGTTTTTAAATGTTTTGAATAGCTAATATATATCTATAACCTAATATATAGCTAATATATCTTAAAATACAAAAGGAATAAATGTGTAAGCAATGAAGAGTCATCTTCCCTGGCTCTCCCATCATCTCATTTTTTTTTTTTTTTTTTTTTCTGGAACCTATCAGAAAGAACACTTGCTTGTGTCTCTCTGCAGAGATATTTTGCTGACCATATTCCCACCCCTCGCCTTACCTGGCCTTTTTTTTCTTTTTTTATTTGCTTTCATGAGCTAATTATATTGGACTTCTTTATTTCCACTTTTATTTTAGATTCAGGGAGTACATAGGCAGGTTTGTTACATGGGCATATTGCATGATGCGGAGGTTTAGGGTATAAGTGATCCCATCACCCAGGAACTAAGCATTAACAGTTTGTCAGCCCTTGCCCCCTTCCTTCTCTCCTCTTTCTAAGAGTCCCCAGTGTCTATTGTTTCCGTCTTTGTGTTCAGGTGTACCCAATGCTTAGCACCCACTTGTAAATGAGAATATGTAGTATTTGGTTTTCTGTTCTTGTGTTAATTTACTTAGGATAATGGCCTCCAGCTACATCCATGTTGCTGCAAAGGACATGGTTTCATTCTTTTTTATGGCTGTGTAGTATTTCATGGTGTATGTGTACTGTATTTTCTCTATCCAATCCACCATTCGTAGGCACCTAGATTGATTCCATGTCTTTTGCGTGAGTAGTGCCGCAGTAAACATTGAGTGCATATATCCTTTTGGTAGAATGTTTTATATTCCTTTGGGTATGTACCCAGTAACGGGATTCCTGGATCAAATGGTAGTTCTGTTTTAACTTCTTTGAGAGATCTCCAAACTGCTTTCCACAGTGGCTGACTTAATTTACATTCCTACCAAGAGTGCATAAGCAATCCCTTATCTCTGCAGTCTTGCCAGCATCTGTTATATTTTGACTTTTTAATAATAGCCATTCTGATTGGTGTGAGATGGTATCTCATTGTGGTTTTGATTTGCATTTCTCTGATGATTAGTGATGGTGAACATTGTTTCACATGTTTGTTGGCTGCTTGTATGTCTTTTGAGAAGTATCTGTTCAGTAATCTTTTACCTGTTTTTTAATGGGACTATTTGGTTTTCACTTGTTGAATTGTTTTAAGTTCCCTGTGGATTTTGGATGTCACACTTTTGTCGGATCCATAGTTGGTGAATATTTTCTCCCATTCGATAGATGGTCTGTTTACCCTGTTGGTGGTTTGTTTTGCTGTGCAGAAGCTCTTTAGTTTAATTAGGGTTCCACTTGTCAATTTGTGGTTTTGTTGCAATGCTTTCGAGAACCTAGTCGTAAATTCTTTCTTTCTTTCTTTTCTTTCTTTCCTTCTTTTTTTTTTTTTTTTTTTTTTTTTTTGAGACAGAGCCTCGCCCTCTCGCCCAGGCTGGAGTGCAGTGGTGCAATCTAAGCTCACTGCAACCTCTGCCTTGTGGGTTCAATGGATTCTTCTACCTTAGCCTCACAAGTAGCTGGGACTACAGGCGTGCACCACCACACGTGGCTAATTTTTGTATTTTTATTAGAGATGGGGTTTCACCATATTGACCAGGCTGGTCTCGAACTCCTGACCTTGTGATCTGCCCTCCTGAGCCTCCCAAAGTGCTGGGATTACAGGCATGAGTCATTGCACCCAGCCATTTGATCCATATTTTAAAAGCTAAATACATGCCGTAAAGATTTTTTTTTTAATTTCAACTGAATTAAATCATTTTTAAAATGTTTTAAAGAATATTCTTTTTTCCTCTTTAATTTACATAAAAATAATTTCTAAAAAACAAGAAAGAGCCTCTCTTTTAATACTGACTTCATAATGTTGGCAGCCATCTGGCAAGAATCGTATCTTAGATTTTTTTTAAAAGAAGTATGTATCTTTAACAAGGTTCTTTTTCTTTTTTTGTCTTCACAGCTGATCTCGCATCTTTAATGGATAAAACATTTCAGAGAAAGTTGCCTGTTAGTTCTTTAACAATATCACGGGTAAGAAAATATTAACATATATATTTTCTAAGAAGAAAGCCAGAAAGGCCACTCACGTAGATAAGTCTATGTAAATAAAGGATACTTTTCATAGGAAATATTTTTTCAGAGTACAGTATGTTTTTATAGTTACTAACAGGTAACAGTGTAGTAGCGGATTTCTTTGGCTGAAATAAAAGTTAATACATTTACCAGATTCTGATATCAGTAATCACTTTTTTGTATCTATTTTAATTTTTCCGTATGATATTCTGCTGTATGATACCATGTTTTTTTTTAAGTTGATATATTCTTCAAAGTAATGATATTTACTTAGTATTGGAAGTGTTTTTGGTGGCCGAGAAAGTCTGTGAAAGAATGGATATTAATGTTAAAGTTAAACTGCAGCAATGTGATGGGTGGAAGCATAATGTTAGGTTAGGAATCAGGAATAGTAACCATTGCTGAGCACCTGCTGTGCCAGTTTTAAATGTATTAGTTCCTTAACATACATTATTTTTGTTAATTCTCACTGCTCCCTATGCAATAAGCAGTCTATGTAAGACATGGTTTAATCTTTCCCAAGTTCACACAGCTTGTAAGTGTGGAAAAGCTGAGATTCAAACTCAGATATCTAGATTCTCTTCTGTTGCCTGCTTCAAATATATCTGGGCTTGTCTTTATCATGAATTCACTTTATGACATTTGGCAATGAGGCCCCTCTCAATTTCCTCATTTTCATCATGGGTACCATTGCATCTTACTCCCAGGAATAATGTGATGCTAAAATGAGATTTTAGCTGTGAAAACTTTTTATGGAGCACCATAAAATTTAAAGTATTGTTAAATCTGGAAGAGAGAGAGGAAAGAAATTACCTTTGTTTTGAGTCCTGGTCCTTTCTTTCTGCCTTTTAGTTGAGAAACAATTTTACTGGCCATAAGTTACATTTAATAGACTCATAATTGGCATACTGGAGGAAAATGGAAAGGCCATTGATTCATCCCTTACAAGATGGGTAAACCTTCTGTATGCCATTATACCTGTTATTTATTTAGGTGTACTTCAAAGGTTTACAGCTTTTATGGACATTTTCTCATTGGAGCCTTATACTCTTCAGGGCCGGTGCTTTTATCCTATTTATGCAGATGGAGCAACCAAATCCCAGAGGGGCTAGGCCATCTGTTTGTGCCATACAGCAAATAATCAGAGCTGTTACTCAAGCTCAGGTTTTGTGTTGAACCACATTTTATATGCCCTTAATAGATTTCTAAGTCAAATCCAGAAGTACTAGACATTGTAGAAAGTTTCCCACTTTTTACTCTCTTCTCCTTCTATAATGAGGTTTTCATTATATTCACAGCATGCATTGTCTTCTACTCTTTTTTTTTTTTTTCTTTTTTGCCTCTGAGTCTCTGCTTTAGAATGGAATCTGTCTTTGGAATAATCCTTTTTATTTGTTTATTTGGACCATATGTTTATTTGAACATATTCAGGGATTTTATAGTTTGAAGGGAGAGTTTGTTGGTAGAGGAATCATAGTTTTACTGTTGTATAGCAGAACTTAAATCAGAGTAGGAAAAATGGTTGCAAGACTGAGTTTTCTAAATTTAGATGTTTATGTTCTAGGCAACATTTTTTTAGCCATCAGAGTCTTCATTCTTTCAGCCATATATTCTTATGTTTAGAACATAAAGAAAATAACGGAGTTTAAAGATAAAGGAAAAAAAAATAGGTAACTAGTTAATAAATATAATCAGTGGAACACTCTCCTTGTTCTGAGCAAGGTTTATGTGTGGCTTTCAATCCATTTTCTGATCCAAGTTGTTCTACATATAGAGAAAGAGAAGTCATTATGTATTCTTTGTTTGTGTTATCATAAAGGGGTTTCAAGGATGGAGCCATACCACGTGAACATTGTTCTACCAAGTATCACCATCGTTCCAATAAAATGGGTGTCCTGTGTTTTCTAAGGTTAATGCATGATCTAGGCCCTAGGCCAAATATATGACATAATTTATATTCAACCAAAGGTTTGTTTTTCTGTCTTTTAGTTTGTAGACAACATTTCCTCTCGGGAAGAGATAGATCATGCAGAGTATTACCTTTACAAGTAAGTTTTCGATTTGATTTGGTTATGTACTCTGTGATTTCACACCCCTTTTTTACATAAAAGTTGATATATGCTATATATAATTTTGATACCTTTTAAGTTTATATTTTAAAGATCTTTTCTTATGAGTATATAGAGAGATGTCTCATTTTTTATAACTGCATACTATTCCATATTGTGAGTGTATTATTTAAACCAGTTCCCAGTTGATGTACCTCTAGGTTGTTCTCTTTTTTGTATTGTATATAGTGTTATCATTGATAACCTTGTACATATGTAATTTTGCACCTCATTTTCATGAGTATGTGTATTTATAGTTTTAATCGCTATTGACAAATTGCTTTCCATTAAAGTTTTATCAGCTTACCTTCCCACTAGCAATGTATGAGAGACGCGTATTTTTACAGCTTGGCCAGCAGTTAGGTATTTTCACATGTTTGCATTTTGTTTGCCAATCTGATCAGTGAAAATTTACACACACACATGCACAAGTTGAGTGTCTCTTGTCTAAAATGCTTGGGACAAGAAGTGTTTTGGATTTTGAATTTTTTTAGATTTTTTGAATATTTGCATTATACTTACTGTTTGAGAACCTCTAATTTGAAAATCCGCAGTGCTTCAGTGAGCATTTCCTTTGAAAATCATGCTGGTGCTCAAAAAATTTTGGATTTTGGAGCTTTTCAAATGAGAGATACTCAATCTGTATGTATATCTCTTCTCTCTCTCTCTTTTTTTTTTTAATAGGTGGAATTATACCCTATATGAACTGTTAGGTACCTACTTTCAATTAACACTGGTGTTTTTTGTTTGTTTGTTTGTTTGTTTGTTTGTTTGGAGATGGAGTCTTGCTCTGTTGCCCAAACTGGAGTGCAGTGGCACAATCTTGGCTCACTGCAACCTCTACCTCCCGGTTTCAAGCAATTCTCCTGCCTCAGCCTCCCCAGTAGCTGGAACCACAGGCACACGCCACCATACCCGACTAATTTTTATATTTTTAGTAGAGATGGGGTTTCACTATGTTGGCCAGGCTGATCTTAAACTCCTGAGCTCGTGATCCACCCGCCTCAGCCTCCCAAAGTGCTGAGATTACAGGTGTCAGCCACCACGCCCAGCCTTCAATTAACACTGTTTGCAAACCTTTCTTATATGAACATATTTACTTCATTCTTTCTCACAGCTGCGAACAATTCTATTGTGAACTACTCACAAAACTCACCCATGTGTACAAGAAGTATGTTCAGTACAGCATCATATATGGTAGCAAATGACTGAAACGGCCTAATGCATATTAAATAAAGAACTGGTCAAAGAAATATCTGTCAGAATGCTACCTTACAACTAAATTTTTATTGTGATTCCAGTTTTTAAAATCTGATTTATTATTTGTTCCAATTCCTATGTTCTAAAAATAGACTCAGATTGAAATTTTAAATGTTTCCAGTAAGCATTACATTGGAGTTTTCCATTTGATCTTGCTTGTTTTGATCAAGAGAATTTTTAGTTATTTCTGTCTAGATGCATTTTTATTTTTTGTTTTTGGGGTTTTGGGGGGTGTCGTTTTTTTCTAGATGTATCTTTTAAAGCTTACTGTATTTTAATGAAAACTTATTAATTTTTTTTTATTTTGCTAAATAATAATGAGGCTTCTTTTTTTAAGTTTCTGAATTGGGTAGATGCTACCACTTTTTGGGTATTTTCTATTTAAATGTAAACCTCAAGTAGGCTAGATTCCACATCTTAAAAAAACATTTATTTTAAATCTAAGATTGGCTTTAACAATGTCCTAAGTTGAAATTCTAGGTCCTAACTTAGTTGCAAGTGATCTTAGTTGTAAGTGCCCTCTTCATTAGGATAAAGATAAATGGACCCCTTGATAAGAGCTACCCCTTCCTTCCTTTAGTGGCTCTTTGGGACTGTCGGGCTGCTTTGGTAGTTGTTTTTGGTCCGTGGTGAAGGGTGTATTTGGGCTGGCATCTGGCCAGTTCTCGTATTTTTGTTTATAGCAAAATGCAGAACATAATTTCAATTTCTAAATGTAAACTGTTTTTCAGAATTTCATCCTGTAAGATATAGTGCCATAGTGCTGGGAGAAGTATATTCCAAATTCATAAGTACTTCTGTAGCATATAATTGATTTCAGTGACTCAGCATTTCAACAAATATTTGCTGAGCGCCTATGATGTGCCCAGGCCCTGTCCTGGGTGCTGGATATCTAATGTTGAATAATTCTCCCTGTCCTCATGTATTAGTATTACTAAAGAGTTGAAGTTCTTTCTTTAAGACATTCTATGATGAGTTCTTCACATGATGTTCAGTTTTGTGTGACCTGGGGTGTAACTGAAAGTTTCATAAAAACTCTATGTCCTATTTCCATATAGCTCAAATAAAGGACTCTCATCCATGATAAATCTGAGCCAGTGTTTAATTGGACATCCCATCCTTTGCTTTAATCAAAACTAATTTTTTAGCTATGATTTATCACTTACCTTAGTTCTTTCTCCTCCCTTTCATTACCAAGAAAATTGACTTTCTTATCTCTTATCTATTACTTTTTTTAAAGACAGAATTGTTTTTATGACTTCATGAGCACATAAATATATGAGACTAGGTAGAAATCTACAAAGCTGAATTGAAACAATGGAGATTGGCTGGGTTCTCTCATTAGCTAAGTGCCTCACTTTTGCTTTCCAGCCTTAGGGAATATACAGAACGTACTTATGCTTTAGCAAAATTAAAAATTACAAGTTATAAACTCTTGGGGTTTCTCTCAAGTAATCAAAATTAGGGATGTTAATCCTGAAGACACCAAGGACCTAGTGCCGTGTGGTATTTCTGCCAGTTCATGATGCCTAACATCTCCTTATGGGATGACTTTAGACAACTCGGAGTCAACTTCAATTCCAGGTATAAGGTGAGCAAATGAAGAAGGAACTTCTTAATTTTAGACAACTCACAGCTTGCAGGCCTGTCGTTAGGATTTCCATCTTTAACAGTGAAGCCCGCAGGAGAACTTTTGCATTGGTTCAACTCTTTCTCTGCCGCGGCCTTTCGACACCAGGCTCTGCTAGCAGGAGTGTAACCACTACATCTCCTCTTACAATGATCAAATTTCCGCAATGATTATGTAAAGTCTACAGCCAAAGAAGTTTGGAAACCTTGAATGATAAGTGAAAAGCTGATTGAGCTTCTGCCATTGCATCAGGCAAGTAAACAGTTTCAAGTTCCAGCAGCTCAGGGTACTGCTGGTACCTGCCAGCTTATTATCACCTTGTCATCCCAACAGAAGATTTGAAGTTCTGAATCTCTCAAAGTACATGGGCTTTTTAGGGACTTCAACATTGAAGAGATCTTTTAAGGAGAGATAGAAAGGCTGTTGTTGAGAGAGCAGGAGGGAGAACAAATGTCTAAGTACTTTTCTTTGGGCCATGGTCTGTTCTCTGGGAGTCAATCCTATGATCAACTTCTGCCTTCTAGTTATAAATAAAAAATGAAAATGCAAAGGAAAAGGTGAAGCTCTAACTAAACAATAACATGAACTAAAAACGATTAAGACAATGCCAGAAACTATATTCATTGGCCAAAAAAGAAAAAAAAAAAGCTGATAATACTCATATAAAGGGAAAATAAGCCGGGCGCGGTGGCTCAAGCCTGTAATCCCAGCACTTTGGGAGGCTGAGGCGGGTGGATCACGAGGTCAAGAGATCGAGACCATCCCGGTCAACATAGTGAAACCCCGTCTCAACTAAAAATACAAAAAATTAGCTGGGCATGGTGGCATGTGCCTGTAATCCCAGCCACTCAGGAGGCTGAGGCAGGAGAATTGCCTGAACCCAGGAGGCGGAGGTTGCGGTGAGCCGAGATCGAGCCATTGCACTCCAGCCTGGGTAACAAGAGCAAAACTCCGTCTAAAAAAAAAAAAAAAAAGGGAAAATAAACCAAGAATCAAGAGCGAACGTGATTAAAATATTAACAAGGTTAAAACAAAGTAAAATAAACAAAATAAGAAAACTAGGCATACTGTAGGGCTGTGACAAATAAATAAAACTTAAATAAGATAAAAAATACAGTGAAATGAAATTCTGGACTTTATATGATGTATATAGTTTAGGCTGGGAGGTTGGAAAAATAGGCATAGGTATGCTCGTGCACAGATATTACTAGCAGGCTAAATGGTAAACTGCTTTATGAGTGGTTTTCAAGCTGTTTTCTGAGAAGCCCTGGAGCCGGTTTCTCACAGCTCCTGTAGGGTGTGGCTTGGGGGAAGAGTAGGTCTGGAGAGAGGTCAGACCATGCTGCATGCAGCAGGCCATTTGCTTCTGCTCCTCTTTCTGCCAGAGAAGCTGTGCCTCCAGCTGCCTTGTCTAGGTCTACAGAGAAAATTCAGAGGACTGTGAACTTGAATAGAATAAAATTATAGTTTTATTTTCACTAACCTCAATATTTAGCATTTCTCTGAATTATGAGTGTAGGCAACAGATAACTATAATATTAACAGCATCTGTGTCTGTTTTGCCAGTAAAAATCATTGATTTTTTTCATATCACATTACCTTTGTTACAGATATCATCACTGCTTAGAAATTATGTTAATAATTAAACCTGCTAGCAAGTGTTATTTCATGCATTAATAAAGCAGCACATATGTTACCATATTCCAAGGATTTCTTAATATCCTGATAATTGTATTTCAATATAATTCGTTTCTGTCGCGAGAAACTAATTCCGAGAAGCCTTCATCAGACTTGCCAGAGGGTTTAAGACAAAAAATTGTTAGAAACCCTGCTGTGAGATCATTTGGAAAATAGATTCTTTTGCTTAGACTTATTTTTATTTCTTCCCTCAGGTTTTTTTGGTTTTAAGTATTGTTGTGGTTCTTTGTTTTCTCTTCTTACAAAGAAGACTTTCTTTTCTTAGTTTAGACCTTACCAAGTCAGACAAGCATTTGATTGATAGGTTTTCTGTCTTCACAATGAAAATTTAGATATAGCCAGTCTTCCCAAG